CGCTCACTCATGTCCAACTCTTTGCGACCCCATGGACTATACAGTCCATGGAACTCTCCAGGCCAGAATACTGGAGTGGATAGTTGTTGGCTTCTCCAGGGGATCTTCCCAACCCGGGAATCAGACCCAGGTCTCCTGCATTGCAGGCAGATTCTTTACCAGCTGCGCCACCAGGAAACTCTGAGTTTACTTAAACTTGTATTCATTGAGTTGATGATGCCATCCAACCATCGCATCCTCTGTTGCCCCATTCTCCTGCTGCCCTCAATCTTTCCCTGCATCAGGGTCTTTCCCAATGAGTCAGCTCTTTACATTGGAGCTTCAGCATCAGCATTCTAATGAATATTCAGGGCTGATTTCCTTTAGGATTGACTGGTTTGATCTTGCAGTCCAAGGACTCTCAAGAGTTTTCTCCAGCACCACAGATCAAAAGCATCAATCAGTTCTTTGGTGCTCAGCCTTTCTTATGGTCCAACTCTCACATCCATACATGATGGCTGGAAAAACCAAAGTTTTGACTATATGGACCTTTGTCAGCAAAGTGACATCTGGTTTTTAACGCACCATCTAGGTTTATTATAGCTTTTCTTCCAAGGAGCAAACGTCTTAATTTCATGGCTGCAATCACCATCCACAGTGATTTTGGAGTTCAAGAAAATAAAGTCTCACTCTTTCCATTGTTTCCCTATCTATTTGCCCTGAAATGATGGGGCCAGATGCCATGATCTTAGTTTTTTTTAATGTCTCTATGAGATCTAATTCCTTGAATCTATTCATCACCTCCACCGTATATATAAGGGATTTGATTTAGGTCATACCTGAGTGGTCTAGCTGTTTTCCCTACTTTCTTCAGGTTAAGCCTGAATTTTGCATTAAGGAGCTTATGATCTGAGCCACAGTAAGTTCCAAGTATTGTTTCACTGACTTATATAGAGGTTCTCCATCTTTGGCTGCAAAGAACACAGTCAATATGATTTTGCTACTGACCATCTGGTGATGTCTATGTGTAGAGTCCTCTCTTGCATTGTTGGAAGTGGGTGACCATTTTAAGTGGTGCTATAGTGTCCAAACACCTCCATTCCCCACATGCCCCTGTCAATCTGTGAGAGAGAAACAGAGAACAAAATAACTGATGTAAGAGGTCCACAGTTTGGTTTTGGCAGCTATAAAGCTTATTTGTCACCTAACCAAGTAACTTTAGATTTTTGATCCACCCAAATATAGCTTATGGTTTAGGGCAGCCTTATCATGGGGACAGCTGCAGTAGCTCAAAGTATACAAGGGGTGGTTTTTTTTTTTTGCTATGCTGGGTCTTATTTGTGACACACAAGATCTTATATCTTCCTTGCAGAATGCAGGATCTTTTGTGGCATGTGGGATCTAGTTCCCCACCCCAGGCCACCTGCACTGAGCATGCAGTCTCAGCCCTGGACTACCAGTGAAGTCCAGCAGGAGACTTTTGAGACATCCAGGACATGTAGTGATTTGACAGACATTTGTGCCCAAAAGGGAGCTGCTAGAGTCACTTACAATTTCCTTAAGAGATTCAAAGATTACACCTGTGGAATCAAACCACAGAATTTGTTTTGTGATTTTGCCCTGGTAGGTTACCCAGGAAAGAAAACAGAAAGCTTTCCACCTATTATCTTTATCTGGGTAAGGGACAGTCTTCAGGCTTCTACAGAGTTTTTCTGGGGCCCAAATGACTCACTAAAGAGGGGCAGACTGATGGTTTTCTTGTGGATATCATACCTGGCCACTCATCCACCTTCTGTACTTAGCTCACTTTGTGTTCACATTAGTAAGAACAAAGATTAATGGGGGCTATTTTGCACTCCCTGGGTGTTGACATAATCAATAGACTGATTAGTTCACGTGGCCAGGGTTTGGTAAATTGGCATAAGGCTTACTCCCTTATGAGAGGGTTAGTAAGAGCAAGACACAAGTTGAAAATAAGCCCATACTGGAGACTTAGCGGACAAATAGGATGGAAAGAGAAAAGCATTCTCCAGCTAGGTTCCTAATAAATGCTTAGTACATGTGGAGAAAGGATTCATTAACAAGAAGAGGTGGTTTTCTGTCATTTTTTCTTTTTAGTGTGTGTATTCAGGGAGTCTTAAAAGCAGGGATGGGGAAATAAATGAAAGTGAGGTTTCTTAATGTGTGATCTTGGGAAAAGCTGTCCGCTTCATGATGCTGTCTACTTTTGGGACCTGGGAACTGGCCCTGGAGATCCTTAAAGTGACCTGTAGTATCTGTCTCCCCCAGGTGTCTTGAGAGGGATGTTCCGGACCTGTTTTGTCATGGTTTGCATGGATCCAGAAGGGTTTTCCTTTGGGGAGCAGTGTAGGTGGTTCTTAGTACCTCATAAGGTCCTTCCCATGGAAGTAACACCACAAGCTTTCTTCTAAAGATCTTGATGTACACTTGGGCTCCTGGTTGAAAGAATGGCAAGGCTTGTCAGTTAGCAGAGGTCAAGCCCCATGATATTCATTTCAAGTACACTCATTCTTGAACATAGCTAATCATAACATCAGATTGTTCACTTAAGTTCCCATCATCTTCATTTAACCCAGAAGTGGAAGGTTTAGAGATGCCAATTGACATTGGGTATCCAGAGACCATTTCAAAAGGGTTCAGTCCATGTGCCCTGTTCGGAGTATTCTGGCTCTTTAAAAGGGCCATCAGCACAGATTCTGTCCATTAAAGTCCAGTTTCTGAACCTTTCCTAAAGTTTTTTCTTGTCTAGATTTTAACATTCCACTCTCCTTGATGACTGAGGATGATATGGAGCATGAAATTCTAAAGAGTACCCCAGAGTTTTTGCAAGCAAGTGGTTTATGTCTGTAAAATTAGCTCCTCGATCTGATTTAATCCATAAAGGAATGCCACAATGAGGAATAACCTCAGTTATGAATGTCTTTACCACATGTAAGTCAAATAGGATTCAGTCCATCCATGAAACATGCAGACAGCAGCAAAATAGTGAGATTAGCCTAAAGCTAGGAGGAAACCCATAAAATTCATCTGGAGAGTCCCAAAGGGAAAGTGGCCTTGGAGGATTTCCTGGGGTATCCCAGGAATTTCTCAGAAGTGTGGGGAGGTTTACAAGGAGTGCACAGGGAACTAATTTGGTCAGAAATTTTATGGATGCCGAGGCAAAACCAACTTTCTTGTTCCTTATCCCCCATCTGCAAATTTATCTCACTTGATGGGATATCAGTCAAAAGAGTCAAGGAAAGGAGGCTACAGAAAGTCCATTTGGCCTGATGTATCCATCTGGTAATTTTTTGGCACCCTTTTGTGTTCATTTGCTTCTTCAGATTGCCGGACATTTGTTTAATGGTTGATAATATCAGTCAAGAATAAAAGCAAATGAGGACACTTTATGCCCTCTCGGTGTCATGCTGAGAGCTTTGTACTTTTTTCTCTAAAATAAATCCTATTTGCTTGCTACTGTGGAAAAAATAAAAGAATAAAAGCAATGAACCTATGGTTGCTGTCGGGGAACGGTCAGGAAAAGGGATAATTAGGGAGTTTGGGATGGACATGTACACGCTACCGTATTTAAAATGGATAACCAGCAAGGTCCTACTCTATAGCACAGGGGACTCTGCTCAATGTTATGCGGCAGCCTGGCTGGGAGGGGGTTTGGGGGAGGATGGATATACGACCAGGACTTCCCCCATCTCTCAGTCGTAAAGCATCTGCTGGCCAACGTAGGAGACTTGCAGGAGACAAGGGTTCTATCCCTGGGTCAGGAAGATAACCTGGAGGAGGAAATGGCAACCCACTCCAGTATTCTGGCCTGGAAAATTCCATGGACAAAGGAACTTGGTGGTGACAGTCCATGGGGTCGCAAAGAGCTGGACGCGACTGAGCCACTGAGCACACATACCCTCTATCTGAAGTAAGCACTTCAATTGTTCCGTGTGATTTAAACGGTCAAGTCCCCTTGCTGTCCACCTGAAATTATCACAGCATTAATAGTTAATCAGCTATTACTCCAATATAAAATTAAAAGTTTTTAAAATATCTTTTAAATTGGGTAGAGAGGGAATAAGGGTGTCCATTTGGAGCTTGATGTTTAGCAACCGTTTTAGCCTGATCATTCTCTAAAGATATAGCACTTCCTTGATATGAGCTGAGCTATGAACAGCAGCAGTTTGAGAAGGGAGATGATATCTTGTGATAAGGAAGCCATCATAGGACCATTATCAGTAGGAGCATAGCTACAGAGGTTAAGAACTCATGGCATTTCCAAACGTGCCAAGAGGATGATTTGTCCAAAAGCACGTCTGAAGTCTGTGAATAGCAGCCGTTTTCCCTTCTGCTAGGGTACAAGCTCCAGGAAGAGCTATGAGTTCAGCAACCTGGGCTGACTGTTACTGTGGCTAAAGAAGACACCTCAGGAGACTCAGAGGGGAAGCTGTGGCATCACCAATTAGCATGTTTCCCCAGAAATCTCATTGACAGGCACCATCACAAAATAGAAGTCAGTCTAGGTTATCTCAAGGGGTGTCTGGGAGAGCAACTTGTGGCTTTGACACCATTTCTGCAACTGCGAAGCAATCACATAGGTTAGAGCAGGACTCCCCATCATCAGAGAGGGGTGGGGAAGTCGCTGAATTCAAAAGTATTAGCAAAGCATGTGAGAGGATGAAAGATCCAGCTCGTGAGTGATCTGTCATCATGCCAAGAGGTGCTGCATCCGGTGAACTTAGAGACTAGCTGACCCCCTGGGGAGCACGGAGATGAAGGGGGGAGCCTGGCATGTGCTACTGGCTCTGTCAATCAAGGCAGCGGCTGCACCACCGCATGCGCGCAAGAGGGCGCACTTGATGCCACAGGATCTGACTGCATGAAAAACAAGCCTTAGGTTGTGTCTGAGACACAGACGCCATCCTAGCGTGCCTGCAGCAGGCCCACTGTTTTCATGACAGTGTATTGGATTGGCCAAGAAGTTTGTTTGGGTTTTTCCATGATATCTTGCAGCAAAACCTGAATGAACTTTTGGGCCAACAGTAGATGAACAGGGTTGTCAAAATAAGGTAAGCCAGGGATTTAGAGCGTGGGCAAAGCTAATGTTGAAGTTTCAAAGGAGATTATTGCCTTCAAAGGGCCAGGAAATAGGCTCTGGACTGTTATCTGGGGGGAAGAGCATACAGAGGTTTAGCAAGGGCTGCAAAAGTAGGAATCCATTGGCCGCTGTAGTAGCCCGCTGCCTCTAAAAATTTACATAACTTTTATTTTTTCATTTGATGGGCGGGCGGGGGGTGGGGTGGGGATCGACAAAATCAACTGAATCCCATCACATGCACCACTGTGAATGGATTCTAGGTCAAGTGATGATGTTTACCAGATATTCTAACCACAGGGTGCTGATTTGACTCCAAAAAAATGTTTTTAAGTGTTTTGCAAGACATTTAATGAAATAAGAGATGTGTTCTTATTTCACCACCAGAACCTCTTTTAAAATTGAGACTATTATTTCTGGAAATTCCAGAATTTCCTTTGGAAACATCCCGCAACTCAAATGAAAGTCTGGGATAGCCTCGTAAAAATCCATGTTGCAATAGGTGCTCTGTCACTGAGAATCACCGAAAAGACGGGGTTAAAGGCACAAAATGAGCCACAAACCATATATGGAGAAACCCTTTTCTTCAAACTTGTGATGAACTCATGTTTTGCTTTCCGTTTTCTCAAAGCTGAAGTCGGCTGTGCTTTGTAAAGCTGACTCACATACCCTCGGAACCTACAGTGCTTCTGGATTCCAGCCCCCGGGGCACCATGCCAGACAGTCTGGGCGTGCGAGTCACATTTGCTCTGACAGCCTGGATGCTCTCCGTGGTCTCCAGTTCTTCCTCTCCAGCAAATAGTTTGCCAGATATCAAAAACGAAGATTTTATCAAAGACTGTGTTCGAATGCATAACAAGTTCCGATCAGCAGTGACTCCAGCAGCCAGTGATATGCTGTACATGGTAAGAAAACTTCAGTGCTTGCAGCAGAAGTCAGTCAAAAACAAGGGATGTGGATTGATTTGGGTGGTGAGTCCTTGGAACCCTGTGATCACTTCCTTCTGTGATGAAAGTGTGCAGTAATTTCACCACTTGTGATCAAAGCAAACCCCGCTTGCTCTGCCCACTCAATTCTCGTTATAAGCAAGCTCAGCCTGTGTGTCTACTTCTCTTTTAAGGCATGTCTTTCCTCAGGTCTCAGGTGGCGTTTAGTTCTCCATTTTTCTTTTTTTGGTCTGTTAGTTTTTGTGAGGTTTTGTTGTTTCACTGTTCAACTTTTTTTGTTATTGCTGGCAGAGTACTGACTTTCTCAGGAGGGCAGCGGGGGATCCAGGGGAAAGGCTAGGATTTTAATCAGGCTTGAGTTTAAATCCTGGGTCTGTGGTTTTGGTCTGGTTTTTAACCTCTTGGAGCCTGCTAGTAGAGGGGCTATTTGGGATATGAAAATTGCAGAAAATGTGTGAAACCAGCATATATTATTTTGCAACATAATTGGCCTTCATGAAATGTTGGTCTGTGTCACTCTCTTTGATTCTAAATTCCTTGATACCAGATTATCATGTCTCCCACAAACCCTAGTGAGAATATAAAGACTATAATACGATCCTCCACAAGTGAAGGAACCCCATCTCTACAGTCCTTCTCCTTTCCGGCCGTGGCACCTCACCTCCCAGGCAAATTCCCACTTTGCCCCCTCTGGTCACACTGTTGTATAATGAGCTGAAGCCTTGACTTTCCTACTATTTCCTATTTATTTCTGCAGACATGGGACCCACTACTAGCTCAGATTGCAAAAGCATGGGCAAGCCATTGTGAGTTTGCACACAACCAACAGCTGAAACCACCCCACAAGCTGCACCCAAATTTCACTTCACTGGGAGAAAACCTCTGGACTGGGTCTCTATCCATTTTTTCTGTGTCTTCAGCCATCACAGACTGGTATGATGAAGTTAAATACTATGACTTCAAGACTCGGAAATGCAACAAAGTCTGTGGCCATTACACTCAGGTAAGTATCTGACCTATATTCTCTAGAAACAGTCATCTCATGGGTGAGGGGAGAACTGGAATCTGGTGTGAACAAAATAGAGTATACTATTGTCCCTATAAATATGAGATAGTAGGGCTGACAGGCTTACTTCAAAAATAAATAAATGGAACAGAGTTCAATACCAGAGGAAATGGTGCTTGAAGAATGTATGACATGGACAGACATTAAATGTGAGGCCCGCCAATCTGGACAGCCTCTGATTAATTCTGATAACACCCTTCTGCCCGTGGTACTTTGTCCCATTGTGAACAATCAAAGGGCCTTATGAGTAAGTAGATTTATTTCCAGGCCCAGGTGGCACAGTGGTAAAAGAATCTGCTTGCCAATGCCGGAAACACAAGAGACGTGGATTCGATCTTTGGATCGGGAAGATCCCCTGGAGGAGGAAATGGCAACCGGCTCCAGTTTTCTTACCCCGAAAATTTCCATGGATACGGGAACCTGATGGACTGCCTACAGTCCGTGGGGTCTCAAAGAGTCAGACACAGCCAAACAAGTCCTCTGGGAAACACAAGGCAGCTGCTCTGGGACTATAAAATTAGGAGAAGTGAGCCTCTCAGACAGAAACATCAACAAGAACTGACACTTGTGTATCCCCTTAGTCTTTCAAACATGACCTAAACATCTACGATGTAAAGAGGAAGAAAAAACCCCAGAGTCCCAGCCTCAATGGAGAGACTGACATAAAAACTTGCACAGACAATCCTGCCCACAAATCTACAGTATAAGTCTCAATGGCTACATTCAGAGTCTCTCAATGAGATTTTTTTTTTTTAATTCAAGCTGCTTGTGGCTTCCTAACCCTAACTCAACATTTGCACCACGATGGAGACAAATCCCTAGGAAGCGTCTTCCACAGTCTGTTTAATATACTGCCTCCACATACTGGCCACATCTTGTTTATTTACCTTTATTTCCTGTCAGTCCTTGTCAAATAACTAAAGGCAGTGAACCTATGTGTGATTGATTTTAATGTAGAAAAAGTTTGTTGAAATGATGAAAGTGAAAGTGGCTCAGTAGTGTCCAATTCTTTGTGACCTCATGGAATACACAGTCCATGGAATTCTCCAGGCCAGATACTGGAGTGGGTAGCCCTTCCCTTCTCCAGGGGGTCTTCCCAACCCAGGGATCGAACCCAGGTCTCCTACATTGCAGGCGGATTCTTTACCAGCTGAGCCACAAACGGAAGCCCAAGAATACTGGAGTGGGTAGCCTATCCCTTCTCTAGAGGGTCTTCCTCAGACAAGAATCAAACCAGGGTCTCTTGCATTACAGGCAGATTCTTTACCAACTGAGCTATCAAGGAAATAATGTCTGAGAGCAAAAACATTTCTAAGAAGCCAGTTAACGTGGAACAGTAGATGTTTTTATTTTTTTATTTCCATATTTATTTGGCTGTGCTGGCTCTTAGTTGCAGCATGCAGGATCTTCTGTCTTCATTGCAGCATTTGAACTCTTAGTTGTGGCAGGTAGGATCTAGTTCTCTGATGCGGGATCAGGACTCCAACCTCCTGCGTTGGGAGCATGGAAACTTAGCCACTAGGCCACCAGGAAAGTCTGAAGGTGTTTTTAAAGAGCAAAATGTTCATAGAAAAAGTCTCAATATATTTCAGTCATAAAAAGACTCTGATTGCACTGATCTCGTTATAGGGGAAACACATTTGGCACAGCTACAGGCAATTGTTATGATGAAAGGGAAAGGGTTGATTTCAGTGAAATCTTCATCTGAAGTTTATTTAATCAAGGAGGAGCTACCAAATCATCAGTAGCCTTGGTCTCTTTCTTGAAAATATAAAATAAGATCTCCTCTAGACTACGCCATCAATTTTGGCTTATGTTAACCAATAAATTTAACCAAAAAATAAATTTCACTGGATTCCCACAAATCCCTAAAGGACAAGAAAGCTAGAACCAGACCCAGAGGGATCGAGTGGAGAGGAAGGTGGGAGGGGGGACCGGGATGGGGAATACATGTAAATCCATGGCTAATTCATTTCAATGTATGACAAAAACCACTGCAATGTTGTAAAGTAATTAGCCTCCAGCTAATAAAAATAAATGGAAAAAAAAAAAAAAAGAAAGCTAGAACCAGATTGCCTACAGTGTTATGTGGTTCTATTATGCATCGGAGTGTTAATCTCCAGAAATCATTGTCAGTTTGAAGGTGCTGACTCTCAGTATTTAAGCTTCTCCCCTATACCAGGCGCTTTGTAAAGTATGGGTCACATGTTTTAGTTCAGACTCCTAAAAAACAGAGCCTGATATAACAGTTTATTTGCAAGATTTTATTAGAATGCAACCACAGAGAAGTGGGAGGGAGGGGAAATGGGGAGTGTGGCAGGAAATGAGGGCCGCAGCTGGGAATGGCCCCCAGCCCTTTTTGGTCTCATTCAATCGCTCAGTCGTGTCCGACTCTTTGTGACCCCATGAACTGCAGCATGCCAGGCTTACCTGTCCTTCAGTATCTCCCAGAGTTTGCTCAAACTCATGTCCATTGGGTCAGTGATGCCATCCAACCATCTTATCTTCTGTCACCTCCTTCTCCTCCCGCCCTCAATATTTCCTAGCATCAGAGTCTTTTTCAATGAGTCATCTCCTACCCTTAGGAGTTGACTCTTTTTGGGACAAGACCTGGTGGCTAGTGCAGTTTGAAGAAGCTGACAGTATGCCGCGTGAGCAATGGGGACAGAGCAGGTCACATGGCCAAAGGGAAGTATGGAGACATAAGACTTGTTCATACAGCAGGAGATACATGAGTTGGTTCTGAAACTGAATGACATTGTCAAATGAAAAAGAATGCAAAGAGAATGACAGGCAAAGTTAACAAGATATAGAAGATGTACAATGTGCACAAATGAGCTTGGTATTTCAGAAGAATGGCAAGCAACCTAGCCCATCAAATACATAATGATCCAAAGACTGTTAAATTGACAAGACTCCTAAAGTCTGTAGGTTAAGAGACAACTTCATGTCCATCATTCTAGGAAGACAATACAGGAGGAAACTTTGTTATATGTCACAGAGAACTGAGATTTCAGAGATGGCCCTCCCCAAATTAACTGGACTTAACTGTAAATTTTCCTCTTGTATCTAGTGGGGGAAAAGGAGGGCTAATATTTGGGACATAAAACAGTCCCTAAATCCACTTCTGTGTAGAAAGGTAGCAGAGCCCAAACTGAGTGATCCTAACCTGCTCTTTTAAAGAGACAACTATAGTCTATGCCCACCTCCGATAATGGAGAGGCAGTCCAGGGACCCCCTGGGTCTGGAAAGATGCAGCACCAGCAACTACTCTTTTAAGTGAATACATAAAATATATAACCTTTTAAGGTATGTAGCTCTCTGCATTTAAGAGCTCATTCAGCTCTTACTATACACTTCTAAGAGATGCTGTTATCCATAGATGAATAAACAGGCTCAGACAGGTCAAGTTATCCCAGTGCCATTTAGCTAGCAAGAGGAAGATTCAGGAGTCAGATATGATATGCTGCAAAGATTAAATAATATAATGTGTGTAAATTGCCTGGTAAAGTAGTAATACTTAGTAGTCATTGAACAAAGTTTAGATTTCTTCCATGAGTTATTTTTCCACCAATTATACTTGGAAGAAGGCTCTGACAGCTTGGTCAAAGACTTCCTGTTTTTATTCTTGCAAGAAACCTTGCTAGGGGGTTCAGGATTACTCAGTTGCCATTTTAAAATCATGCTGGAAATTACCTTGAGTGGGTATTTTTAACTTCCCACTTAGCCTCATCTGTTAGATTTTGGTTGGTGAGCAGTGGCTATATAAAGACAATAGATTCAGGTTCATTATTACTTCATGAAAGTGTGCTATTTTTGGACATGTTAACGCTTTAGCTCTGTCTTCACTACAGATAGATTTAAATTATGGAAGAATTTGGGTATATTCATATGAAAGATTATTCCAATTAGATATTTTGATCTGCTCTATAAAGTTTGGGAATAGTTGAACTCAAACAGCTGGAAAGGCAGCAGCTCAGGTTTGATAGTGCTAACAATGTCCACTAGAAGGCACTATTGATCTCATTTCTGGTTTTATTCCCTGCAACCCCACCCCACCACCCCCCCCTCCACACACACACCTTTAAATTTTTATTTTTACACCCTTGCAGAACTGATGGAAAGTATGATGTCTCAGTTTGTCTAGCTGATTTTATATATGTTGTATATTACTGATAAGTCATCAGATGAACTGAGAACTGAAAGGAGAAGGTAAAAGGGCATTGTTAAGAAGAGACATGCCTGCTCTCACTGGGTTGAGTTCCCCAGATGCAGTGTTTTTGTTAAGTATAAATTCCTGATTCTGCTAAAAAGGAACACACTCTGGAAGCATCTTGCTTAGGGCATGGACCGCCTTGGTACTTTGTCGTCAAGTAGAATTAGGTTCCACCCCTCATCTATAAAAATTGAGGCAATACCTATTTATTGATGTGTCATGTGATGATACATGATGTCATGTGCTGAACACTATCGTGGCACTAGGGAAATTCTCAATGTAGCTCTCATTTTTCAATTTTTGTTTAACACATTAAAAGAAATGACAACACGCAACCAGAATCTGCGTGATAAAAAAAATTTCAAAAGTTTTAAAGCAAAAGAAAATTAGTCAAAAGAGAATAAAACATGAATATTTGCTGAGAGCTTGCTATGTTTCAGAAGGTGTTCTAAGTTCTTTCTTCTAAGCCCATTTAAATTGTCAAAATAAGCCTATTGAGTACCTTTGTTATCCTATTTAGTAGACGAGGAAGCTGAGGTCCAGGTCACACAGTGAGTAGCTGAGCTGGAATATGAACTTGGTCTTTGTAGTCCTAGAGCCTACAAAGTTGCACTCCAAACCTGAATGCCCATGAAGCTATTAGAAAGAGACCAGCATGAATGGATAAATAAACCTGATATATCCATGCAGTATTACTCAGCAATAAAAAGGAGAGTGACTC